CCAAAATCATGCGAATGGAAGTCATCTTCACCACTGGTGCAAAAATTTCATCGTAATCGATGCCTTTCTTCTGATGGCATCCCTTCACCACCAGTCTTGCCTTCCGTCTCACTAGCTTTTGGCCATCTTTCTTGTTCTTGAACAACCACCTGCTCTTCAAGACTTTCTTCCCTTTTGGACGCTTCACCAAGTCATATGTTTGATTCTTCTTCAAAGAATCCATCTCCTCTTGCATAGCCTTCAGCCAATGGTCTGGTCTTTGTCTGGATGTGACAAGACCTCTTTAAGGCTTTCAGGCTCCCCTCATCAGTGATTAGGATATATTCTGAACTTGGATAAAGTCTTGAAGGTTGTCGAACTCAGGTTGACCTTCTCAATGTTGGCTCTTCCACCTGTGGGCTGTTTTGCTCCCCCTGATTAGAAGACTCTCCACTTTCTATTTCAACAGCTTCATCATCAGGTTGTGGCACAATCTCTGGTTGTACCTCTTCAATACGGTCATGTTCATGAGTATTTTCATGACCATCATCGGGAGCATCACCTGTTTGTTGAACATCTGGAACAGAAACATGAGACATATCAATAGCACCATGAGATAAATCAGGATAATAAGTATTACCAGCACCTAAGAGTTGAAAACCCATCTCGTGCTCGTAAAATAAACATCTCTACTCCTCACAACTCTTTTCTTTGCTGGATCATAAAGTCTGTAACCAAACTCTTCATCACCATATCCAACAAACACACAAGGAGAAGTTTTGAAGTCAAGCTTCAATCTATGTTCCTTCGGTACATGCATGAAGGCCTTGCATCCAAACACCTTCAAATGGGAATAAGAAGGATCTCTCCCAAACCAAACTCTCTCAGGAATATCAAACTCCAAAGGAACTGATGGCGCTCTATTTATCAAGTACACAGCGGTTCCAACTGCTTCTCCCCAAAATGACTTACGAAGGTTGGACATCCTAAGCATACATCTCACTTTCTCAACAATAGTTCTGTTCATCCTCTCGGCAACACCATTATGTTGTGGGGTACCAGGTTCTGTTCTTTCATGTCGAATGCCATATCTTGAACAATATGCTTTAAACTCATTTGAAGTGTATTCACCTCCATTATCAGTTCGAAGACGCTTCAATTTGCAATCTGTCTCCCTTTCCACCATGGCATGAAACTTCTGAAAGATGCCAAACACATCGCTTTTGTGCTTCATCATATAAACCCAAGTTCTCCGAGTAGCATCATCAATAAAAGTAACAAAGTATTTGTTACCACCAAGTGA